AAACTTTCTTCAAATCAATCTTAATTATTTTTTACTAATTAGTTTCACACTACAAAACCATACATATCATCCAAGAGGGACAAATGTAAGGAATATAAGGCTCATCCAAGCTCTTACCTGAAATTCGTAAATTCAGACCTGATATTGTACAATTCTTCAAATTTTGAACTTGTTAAAATTCTTAAACCTTCTTAAAAACCATCTAAATTATTTTGTACATCTTAGTTTCATACTACAAAACCATAAATATCATCAAAGGGGGACAGATGTAAAAAATCTAAGGCTCATCCAAGGTCTTACCTAAAATTTGTAAATTCAGACCTGATATTGTACAATTCTTGGAATTTTGAACTTGTTTAAAACATGAAACTTCCTTAAAACCCATTTTAATTATTTTTTACATCTTAGTTCCATACTTCTAAACCATATTTATCATCAAAGAGGGATAGATCTGGAAACCATAGGCATCAGCTATAGTCATACACAAAATTACCCCTCTCAAAAATGTCAAAATTTTCAAAAATTCAACAATTTTTTTCTCGGCTCCTACTAATTCAATTAGTTTGAACCTTTCAGGGCTTATAGTTCTGCTACTGGGCACTTCACGTGAAATTTTTCAATGTCTTCCAGTGTCTGATTGAAAAGTGAGGCTCTAAATAGTAAGAAAATGGGTCACGAATTTGCCCCCTGGGGTACATACTTTGTAGTATTTACCAAATTCTGTAGGAGTGATTGGCATTATTTATTTTGCAAATGATTCATATATATAATGTCTATGTATGTAACTTACAAACATCAAGATATCTAAAATTATTGAGAATGAAAAAATTATTTTCCGGGGGTGGGGTGTTTTTGGGGGGTGGGGGCTAACCCCTGAAAAAAAAGAATTATGTACCACTCTGTGAAGCTATCACCTAGGTAGAATTTTCATCCAAGACTTCCCTCTAACTGAAAATGCTGCCAAACCAACTATACTCCATTTATTAAGAATTTTCCTCCTCGCTCTTAGAGTAAACCAGAACATTTTATTCCAAATCCTTTGTGAATAGAAAATAATAATAATTATTGTCAAAGGGCAAAATAATGTCAACTATCTTTTTAATTAGAATTACAATTAATTGCACAGTATCAATCGTCATGTTGTGCTGTATCTTCATGGAATTAAAATGGCGGACACAGTGTCAGGATTAAAAGTGCGCAATTCGGTCAAAGATAATTGTTGTAGCAAACGCAAAGTTAACTTAATATTCTATATTGTCGTCGGGAGCGCAATTGATTTGAAAGAATCTCAAAAGAATACATTAAGCCATCTTTAATGATTTTTGTCATTTTTTTCATCTTGATCTACTTAAAAGGTTAAGATGCCTTCCCTCTATTTGCAGCTTGAAAACCCTTTGATAGACCTCTGTGATAAAATCTCGTTTACCTCGTCAAAGTTCAGCTTTAACATATATGTACGTACAGGGTGGGACAAAAATGTCCATATATACAACCCTGTAATTTATATTATGGACGCTGGTTGACAGGCATTATTATAAATTTGAACTTATGATATAACAAATTAAAGATGAGTAAATTCCCTATCCATTGGTATATAATATGACATGTTCTCATCAAGAAAATCAATATTTATTTTTGAAATACGAGTGTCCCATTTTGTGGACCACCCTGTATATATTAACAAAATGTATTTCAAATAAACTATAGAATGAGATATCACTTACTTTCTTCAAAAGATGTTTGAAAATCCCTCATCTTAATATCGCTATGCATGAATTCGAAGCTCTAAAGACATTCCGGATAGGATTCCTTAAACCTACTGCCCCCATTGTAATCAGCATGTAAGTTCATGGTTAATAGCATGATATCATGATGTAAGAGATGGATATTTAAAAAATACCTCATATGCCCGCAGTTGATAATGCAACATTTTAAAAACTTGCCTCATATACCTGAAACACTATAAGTTATTGAATGATTTGAAGTGCAATACAGGATATATTCTGCTCGAGAAATTCCGTATTGGAACGAGACGAAGTCAAGCGCCAATACAGAATATCGAGAGCAGAATATATCCTGTATTGCACTTCAAATCATTCTATAACGTTTTTATCGTGTGATCCTCTGTATTGCTACTGAGAATGTCCCCTCCGTAGCAATATTTTCTGTATTGCGACGGAGTTGATCAATGGGGACAATCTCAGTGGCAATACAGATTGGTACAGCACAATAACTGACCAATCAGAAGGCTTCATTTTACAGGTCATACGATAAAACCAAATATGGAATAAATAAAGATACACTCCCAAACCCCTAACTTCCCTGTTCAAGTTTGATTGTTTTTAAATCAAACACAAAACATGTTTAACTTCTCGATGAATTTTGAATAACATGGGATACAAAACAAAACTGCCTTGGTAAACTGTTTTGTCTCATTGTGTGAAGAATTTCTCTTTGGTGAAATGAATGCATGACAATTATCTAAAGAGATCAAATGTTATTTGGGTCCTGAATTAATCATTTGTAATATCATAGAGTATTCTCCTGAGACAAATTCCAATGATCAGAGGTCAGGCAATAAGATATATTTAAATCTTTTATGTCTATTGGTTGTTTTATGTGTATTGTTTCTTCTAAAAATCAATCATAAACTGCATATACTGAATAAATGGAAGAATATAATGCCGCTACGGCTCATTTGTAGAGCAAATGTTACCACTATCGTTTGGCCCCGAGTTCGATTCCCGTTTTATTTGTTTGTGCGTTGTGTAATTCTGGGTGTTTGACTAAAAAGTGCTCCACATCTTATATAAAGGTTGTGGTGGGTACTTGCATGGCTGTACATAAAAGAACCCAGGGTTCCTCTGTGGGTTTCTGACTCTGTCTTTGAGTGCCAGTTGCTTTGCAATTGTGTTACACATGTGAATTACATGTGTCACGAGCAATGCATTTAAATACTTCTCTGATAATCAATAATGGCAAGGATTATATTCAAATTAGACAACTCATTTCCGGTTCCGGTGATACTAGATGGCACTGGTGACACTCAGTGACAGTCCTTACGATACACTGGGGATGACGCCCGGGGGATGATGTAAATGAGGTGGAGGTCCAGAAACTTGATGCCAGACTAAATTTTATTACTATTCCCAGGCATCAGATGATGGTGATTGATAACCTATTTGTGTCCACATGTCTTCAGGGATTCAGCGACGCAATATATCTTACGCTGGTAGTAAAGTAATAGATTTTGTTGTCAAGTTTATTACGCACATAAACAAAACAAGAAATCCATGGGGAATCTGTGAAGTTTTGGTTAATTCCAATGTTCAAGTACATACGCCAAATTCGCCTTTAGTGCTCAACGTGGGACTATGAATGGTTTAAAAATAGGTGCGTCAAATTACTTCTTTGTTTTAAACATCAACTAATTTTGTTCTATATTACTCGTAAATGAGTGTTTAAAGCAATTGTTGCATCTATCAACGGAAAACAATTACAACTGCATTTTACTCTCCACCGATCTAATCAATTCTGAAATCTGGATGAATTATTCATGTGATACAGACTTGGTGCTTTTAGATGTTTTTAGAAAATAAAAGGATATGATAGTTGTAATTTCCCACAAGCTTTAGCATTTAAAATGACGAAAATGATTATCATCAGGATTTCAGAAATACAAAGTTTACCGTGTTTAGATTTTTATAATAATTTCAATACACTGATGTATCATTCGACTTTAAATTATGAGCACTGTTACAATCTATATCTTGATCATCATAACGTTCCGGTATAATAAACACATTTATATGCTCTGTAACTCAGTTATATATATTTTTCTTTGTGTCGCTGGATTACTAAATAATAATTATCTGGGGCATTTTCCATATATATTACAAAGACTTGCACGTATGATTGTCTAAACGAGTCCAAATGTGTCCCGCTGGGCCTATCTTAATCTAAGTATTTGATAGTTTCGTGACAGCAAATATTAATTTCGCAAACTAATTTAAGTAGTTTATGTGTATTTTAGTGTTACAACATCCAACGTCAATTCCAATGTCAACGTCACTGAAATAATTTAAATTGGAACGTTTGATAATAAAACTTCCATTAGAACAGCCTGATAATATACATTTCCATGTGACCTGGACATATTATTTTTTATAATCTCCTCGGAAAAAGTTCAACCCTATATTCAATTCTAGTCAATTTCAGTCGTAAATAATCTATGATGTTATGAATTTGGGTTCGGATACGATTTATTCATTCCATAATTTATTATTTTATCATAATTGGCTGCTGATACAATTATATTGTACTATTAAAGGTATTAATGAGTTCTACAGATAGATGCATATTAGTATATCTTTTATAACTACGACTTAAGAGAAGAAAACGTGTCAATTAGGGAAACGGGTTTGACACGTTCTCTCCTCTAAAGTGTAGTTGTAAAATATATACTAGGAATCTTAATGTAGTTCACATTTAGAGCTGCTCCCCCACGGCGGACAAAAAATGAAATATTAATTCTTACAAAAAATTAAAAAGAACAAATCCATCTGATCAATCTCATTCATTGCTTTCAGAGTCATGCTGAACATATGTAATAATATTATTATCATGTCACTATATCGTGCCATTTAAAAACGTGAGTTTAAAAATAATTTGTAAAGTTAGTGTTTTTATGAAAAATAGTATGCTCCCCCACAGCGGACAATTTCCAGCCCGTGCATGTAAAGCAGCGAAAACATAGTTAAGTATGGCTTTTCTTAGCCCATGCGCCAAGTCCATCGAGTGTGCAGGCGCATGGTAGTATGTTCTATACTACTATTCGTACACTGAATGAAAATGATCCCAAATGAGGATGTTTATCCAACCCGCGCACCAAACCTGTCATGGTTTTTATGACAGCAATTAATTGGATTTTATCAATATGTAACTTGGGAGACAAGGCACGCAGCTATTTTACTAATCTGGTCATTTTACTATACTTTCAGGTACATCGCCATTGTGTTCCCGATCAAGGCACATATTCTATGTAGCAGGACACGTACAAAGGCAGCTATCGCCGTCATATGGCCACTATCGGGGGTTCTCGCCATACCAGTCCTACTATTCAATAGCACCAAGCATATAAGCCAGTCTGTGGTTTTCTGTAAGACCATGTTTCCGGACCCCCAACACAGACTGACGTACAGTTACGTTGAGTTTACCTTGTTCTACGCACTCCCTATGGTAATACAAGTAGTTCTCTATGCCATAGTTGGTAAACGACTGTTCGCCGGAAGTGAAACACTTCACAGGAACGTAGGAAGCTCTGCGAATGAAAATGGTAAAGATAAGGCATCTGTTGCTATCAAGGCAAGAAAGGGCGTGGTGAAAATGTTGATCGCTAGCGTATTGATATATTTCATCAGTTATTCACCACCGCAAGGACTACTCCTCTACAGGACATTCTCAAAGACGCCATTCCATGCGACATGGCCGTGGTTTGTGTTCGTTATGACCATGGCCTATATCAATTCTGCCGCAAATCCTGTACTGTATTGCATCTTCAGTCAGAACTTCAGGAAGAAATTTGGGGCTATTTTAGGTTGCTTTAAACATGAAAAAGAAGGTTATATCCAGGCAAAGTCCCTCAACACCGCCTCGAGATATTATAACAGTACCATGAAGTCTACTGCAGTTACAGAAGCATCGGTTTGATTGTAACATTGCATTTGACAAAACAGTTTATGGCGTAGCCGGGATTTAAAAATAGACGAGAAACATTGAAATTGTCGAGCCAACATTTTTAAACCAAAAGTGGATATTATACTCTTGTGGGACACAATTTTCACAGATTTACCTTGTCTTCGCGAATGTAACTTTCGACTGTCATTGCTACCGGATCAACCTACTATTTTATGGGCAATTCATTTAAATATTAATAGTACCTGCCACTATTCGATTCTTATCTAATTGAGTTAGTCATAAAATAGTGGGTTAATCCGAGAGTCGACAGTCGAAAATTACATCCGCGATCCTCGTTCGCTTCATAGCTAACGACACCATTGTACCCAATGCTCACGTCCGCTTAAAATGTATGTTGACGCTTTCATGGTAGTGTGGCACGAAATGAAACATTTTACATAATTACTAGCCTTGTTTTACTATCACAGTATCAGGGAAAGAGTAATAGACTTTTACCCCGATTTCATGTTTCCGTAAATGATATTTATGAGTATAAGCATTGCATTTATTTCAATTAAAGTAGCTAACATTTGCGTTGTGTCAAAACAGAGAGAACAGGTAAATCAAATCAGACATACTCGTTACTGTGTAAACGGCTTTGCACGCCGCATTAAAGCGCCATCAAAGCGCCGTTGGTGTGAACTTAGCTTAAGGTACAACGTGTTGGAGGATGTGATCTGACGAATTATCAGCTTAGACTCATAGAGCAAAATTAGTCTGCTATTCTTAAAACTGTTGTATGAAGTTGGAAAATTGCACATTTGTTTAGCATTTTCCATGCCTTATGCATGTTGTTTTGATATGCTACTTGACAGGGTGGCACAAAATGCACCCTTTTTCAAAATAACGTATCGATACTGTCGGGATCCCCTTGATTTTCTTGTGTGGATATGGTGTTTAATGCAGCAATGGGTAAAATTGCATTAATCACTCTGAATTAAAAGACAAAGAATTTACCTTCGAGGCAAGCTCAATATGCGATAAGATGTTAGGTAGCGATCTGAGGCACTTCGATCAGGGTGTTGTCGGGACAATTTCTCTTGTGACTTAGGTTATGTATTTAGGTCTATCTCAACAGATTTTACTGGTCTTATGCGCCGCAAATGGTGCGAAAGATGTTAAAATTGCATTTTCGACCCTAAAATTCAGATTTCTTGGGGGTACATTATTATTTAGCTATAAAACAAAAACTAAACAACCAATGCTTCTTTCTTTTGGTGTTTCTGTTAAGAGTAATCATACTTGAAATACATATGTAAAAAAATTGAAGAATTTTAACTTTATTTAAAAACAGCAACATTTTTTCACCCTAAAATCATAGAATTTAGGGGGGTTGAGAGACATTGATTGGAATTGATTTTTTAATTTCTCAATCAATCTCAGTTTAATATTAATGGAACTTTCCTAAAAGTAGCACCAACATGTCCACAACACATTACAATAAAGAAAAAACTCAAACTCTAACATGTTTTTTGCCTATATGGGTCAATTTACCTCTCCCCTCTTTCCCTTATAAAAGGGGTGTGGCCATTAATACATGTGGATTTAAACAGTAGCATGATGGCACATTAAATGAATACATGTACATATCATGTATTTTATCAAATATATTACCATAAAATATTTTCACTTAGGTGTATACATATAGTACATACCTGTGAATTATTTATAATACAGTATTTTTTCTATGTAGACTCGAGATATAAGAATATTGAAAATCTGAAGTTGAATATTATCTAATACACAGTTCACGACTCAGTCATAATATTAATTTTACTCATTGTATGAATTTCTGTCATCACAAATGTAGTTTTTATTCACCAGAATATATTTGATCCATAAAGCTTTGTATTTCATAAACTTCCTCTTCATTTTGATCTTCTAAAGTATCATCTAATACGATAACATCTACCAGGTCCTGGGGTAGAATTTTATCTGGATTTGACACCCATTGAAATCCAAATGGCCATCTTTCATCCTCCATCCATGTGACACAGGGGAGGGAATTGATGGGGAGGGGATGTTGGCAAGTTTCCATATGTGTGCTTGATAACTGGCCCTTGCCAGATGCTGCTGTAATGAATCTTTACATGGGGGTAGGAGGCTTATTGTTAGTGCCTTCATAGCTTGTTATCACACTTGGAGCAGATTTTGGTTGAAATTTGTTCTTGAATAAGGTATATCTCAGCTCATTTATATTTGAACACTTTTTGTTTCCATACATCTGGCAAGTAAACTTCTCAGCACATTTAGCAGTTTGATCACTAATGACCCCTCCAATGGTGCCGAAACCTTTTTGAAATTCTCATAAGTAATTTTAGGGGGGGGACACTTTCTCCCTTCTCACAAAGGCACTGAAGTAATCGCATCCAGTGAATGAATGGAAGGCTGGTAAAGCATTACAAATTTACAAATGTCTGAACTGAGCGCATTTCCTACTTCCTTTACATTAAAGGGGCAACAAGGGACTGTAGAGAGAAAATTCAATTTTTTTTCTTTTTTCTGAGCTATCAGGTCAATATTTGGCTTAACATCTTCTTTGACATATCTATTTTCTTAAAATGTATGAATAAACTCTCAATTTAGAAGTGTAAATTCAGTTCAAAGCTTCTATAAAGGGAGTCCCACTTTTTAAGATTTTTAAGATTCACCACGTTTCAAGAGGAATATCAGCTGAAATAATGTTCATCAAGGGGATTTCTTTGTAGATAATAAAAATATATGTTACTCTTGATGAAATATCCAAACTTAAATATATTTTGACACTGGTCGATGATCGTTGAATTACCCCCCTGCACTAATTGTTGCACCTTTAATAAGTCATATGTGGTCTGCACTACCAGTGTCAAAAATTAATGGAGTTTGAATAAGATTGGAAAGTGCGCAAGAAGTACAAAAACATCGCTATCTGGGGATCTCACAACTATAGTTTTTTCTGTATTTTCAGGTTCATTTCATGTTAATTGCATGGAGTATAATTTTTGTATCTGCCTCTTTGTGGGAAGATTTCAGGCTTGATTCAACTGTATGTGTAGCAGTAGTTCTATCACTGGTTACCACTGTACAAATCTCACATGAATCTGTCTTTCTTTGAGTTTAGGAGCATTTTTATCTTTTTCCATTCTTCAAGGATCAACTGACTCAGCTGCATTTCATTCTCATCATTTAAAAGGAATTCCTTCCAATTGTTAGGAATTCTGGTATTAGGTCCTTTTATTATTAGCTTTTTGGAGACACGCCTGCGTATTCTTTCTGGTTCTTTAATTGAATCTTTCTTATAGGAAGCATCTGAACGATCCTCTCTGCCAATAATCCAAATGTTTTGGGTCGCTCAAGAAGTATATGGAACAATGCATTGCCATCATAGACTATAATTGTTTTTTTCTGGTTTGGGTCCATGTAATATCATATGTTTCCAGCTCATGTAATAATTTTGACTTTTCCGTTTTAACCAAGAGCCCATCATGTGTTCCAAGAGCCCAGGGTATTGGACTCAGGGGATATTCTAATATTCGCTTTAGACTGATACTATGCTGCTCTGATAACATGACTAACTGGCCAAATGTATTGCGCTCAGCTCTAATCTCAATCAGTTTGTTTCCAGAGCTTTTCACCTTTTTGACTCCAGCATTGAATTCAGATGTTTTCAGTTTCATTCTTTTATGGGGTTATGAAAACTTTTTCCCTTCTGCACAAATTGGTCTTGAATAAATTGCTTAAAGGCTTGTGTGCCCTTGGATGCTGCATTTAAGAGATCATCTGCTAAATTAGAGGGTGTTGGCATTCCAGATGATATGCAGTATAAATGATCATTGTCCTCAATTTGGAATGGATTGAGAAAGCCATCAATTGAATCAATCAAATTAGTTAATAATAGAACATCAGACAGTAATAAGCCTTGAATAGCTTACTATTCTCCCTTATTGTTTTGTTACATGTTCCCTGCAAATAATAGATAGCGATTTATAATTGCAATTAGATAATCAGTTTATTAATTAAAGTTAAATATAAAGGTGTTTTGTATAAAGTAAAACCTGTGTACAGTGAACATCTATAGAGCCACAAAAAAGATTTCAATACAGAAAGACAATTTGTATTGGAATCAAGGTATGTGCTGAAAATAGGGTGTTCATTTTACACAGGTGTTCACTAGAGAAAGGTGTTCACTAACCCAGGTCCCACTGTATTAGGCTTATGTCATTTCAAAGACATTCACTAGCTACAAGTAAAACAAGGCATTAACATGACAAAATGTCACCACCTAGTTGAAACAAGATAAAAAATACCCTTTTGACCTTGAGGAGGTCACTAAAGGTCAAATCTATTTTGACCTTTAGAATGTCATTTAATGATCAAATCTATATTCTTAAATCTTAAGAATGTCATTGAATGTCAAATCTCAAACATTAAGTCAGATTTGAACTTCTGATAACTTATAGATGATTTTGAAAAAATGGTTAATTTGAAGCAAGTTGAAAAAAGACTTTTTCTGACCTTAAAAAGGTCATTGAAGGTCAAATCTTAAATATAAGTATAAAGTCAGATTTGAACATCTGAAAACACGTAGATGATTTTGAAAACAATTGAAGTCTCTATACAGTATTTGTTAATTATTTGAAATTGTAAGAATTTGTTACAGACACCAATAACGCAGATGCGAGTAAGTAGTTACCAGTTTCACCACCAGGTGGCTCGTTCGGGTCAGATAGCATGGCGGGTATAGTAGAATGTTCCCTCTAACTTAAATTACATCTCTTTTAGTGGTTCAATTTTCATATAACCCTTATGTATCTAACTGTTATGTAAATTAAAATATGTCCAGTAAAAGAAAATGTTATCTGTCCAATACAAGAAAAGATATTTCACTTTTTGTGATTTTGTAACATGGGGTCTATGGGGAATCAACCCGAACTAGAAGTCACATTTAAAAAAAAAATTAAATTTTCAAAGTTGATAAACAATTTTCGAAACCATATTTCTAGATGTACTTTTACATGTAGATTTCAAATATGACATCACTTTGAATTTTGAATATTTAATGACGTAAATCATGATTATTTTTACTCGCATCTAGTCTATTGCCAAGCTCCAACCACAAACCGCCGACCACTGACCACTGTCAAAAAAGAACAGACCATAACAATATGTCACCACTTTTTGTTGGTGACATAAAAATGATAACATGATATGAACCACCCTCCTAAGCAGGTGTCCAGAATCCGTACCTCCTTCTTCCCCCTGCGATAACCAATTTGGACGCGCCTGATTTAACTGAATCACGTGATC